TTTATCATTATATAATGCCTTTATTTGTCTCTTGTTACAGTTTTTGTTTTAAAGTCTACTTTGTCATATTGCTACCTTGGCTTTTTTTTTTTTTTTTGCTTCCATTTGCATGGTATATGTTTTTCCAGCCCTTTACTTTCAGTATGCATGTGTCTTTAGGTCTGAAGTGAGTCTCTTGTAAGGCAGCATATAGATGTCTTGGTTTTTTTTTTTTTAATCCATTCAGTTACCCTATGCCTTTTTTTTTTTTTAAAGATTTTATTTGTTCATTTGAGACACAGAGATACAGAGAGAGAGAGAGAAAGCATGAGCAGGGAGAGAGGCAGAGGGAGAGGGAGAAGCAGGCTCCCCGCTGAGCTGGGAGCCCGACGTGGGGCTCTATCCCAGGGCCCCGGGATCATGACCTGAGCTGAAGGCAGGCACTTAACCATCTGAGCCACCCAGGCGCCCCTACCCTATGCCTTTTGACCGGAGCTTTTAGTGCATTTACATTTAAAGCAATTATTGATAAGTATATATTTAATGCCATTTTGTTAATTGTTTTCTGATTCTTTTTATGGTTCTTCTCTGTTCCTTTCTTCTCTTGCTTTATCTTTGTGATTCGATATTTTCTTTAGTGTTGTGCCTGGATTCCTTTCTCTTTTTTTTGCATATCTGTTACAGGTTTTTGTCATTACCATGAGGTTCATATATAATATCCTATGTATGTAGCAGTCTATTTTATATTTTAAGTTGGTGGTTGCTGAAGTTTGAACACATTCTAAAAACACAAAAGTTTTACTACCTCCCCCCCCAAGGTTTGTGTATATAGTGTCATATTTCATATCTTTTTATTTCTTGGCCCTTAACTAATTTTTTAGATATTGATTTTACTATGTTTGTCTTTTAACCTTTCATATTAGTTTTATAAGAGATTGATTTACTACCTTTACTATATGTTTGCTTTTACTCATGAAATTTTTTCTTTTCATAATTTTTTTTTTCTAATCATGGCCTCTTCTTTCCCACTTAAGTTAGTCCCTTTAACATTTGTCATAAGTCTCTTATAGTGGTGATGAACTCCTTTAACTTTTGTTTGCCTGGGAAACTATTTCTTCTTAAATTCTGAATGATAACTTTGCTGGGTATTCTTGGTTATAGGGTTTTTTCCTTTCATCACTTTGAATATATCATGCCATTCCCATCATTGCTGATACTCCTATCGGGTTTCCTTGTATGTGACATGTTGCTTTTCTGTTGCTGATTTTTAGATTCTCTACCTTTAATTTTTGACATTTTAACTAATTTGTATCTTGGTGTGGACCTCCCTGGATTCATCTTGTTTGGGATTTTTGAGATTCCTGGACTTGGATGTCTGTTTTCTTACCCAAGTCAGAGAAGTTTTCAGCTATTATTTTTTCAAGTTATTTTTCTGCCCTTTTCTCTCTCTCTCTCTTTGGGACCCCTGTAGTGTGAATGTTAGAATACCTGATATTGTCTCAGAGATCCCTTAACTTATCCTCATCTGAAAAAATATTTTTTCTGTTCAGCATGGGTGCTTTCCATTACCCTGTTTTCCAGATTGCTGATTCATTCTTCTGTACCTTCTGATCTGCTGTTGATTCCCTCTAATGTATTTTGCATTTCAGTTATTGTATTCTTCAGCTTTGATTGGTTCTTTTTAATATTATCTGTCTCTTTGTTGAAGTTTCTCTGAGTTCATGCACTCTTCTCTGGAAGTCAAGTGAGCGTCTTTATGATTATTATCTTGAACTCTTTATCAGATAGGTTGTTCATTACCATTTAGTTTAGTTCTTTTTTGAGGTTTTGTCTTATTCTTTCATATGGGGCATATTCCTCTCTCTCCTCATTTTGTTTGACTCTCTGTGTTTGTTTCTATGAATTAGGTGGAAAACTACTTCTAGACTTGAAGGAATTGCCTTGTGTAGGAACATCCCCTGTATAGACTGTATGTGTCTGGCAGCTTTGGTTGGTTGGCTGGAGCTTAGTGCATGCAGGCTGGGTGTCCCAGGGCACTTGCTTTAGGACCACTCTGGTGTGATGGCTGGAGCTGAAGTGGGTACAGAGCAGAGGATTCTGGTACTCTCCATGCACAGTGTGTCCTGGAGGTACAACTGGAGCTGAAGTGAGTGTGGGCTGGGGGTTCTTGGAGTGTTCCGCATAGTGGGTACCCAAGTGAATTGTCTATAGCTAAAGTGGGGATGGGTCTGGAGTATTCTGGAAGATGGAAATCTGATTATTATTTGTTCCTGAAAGGACAAGGAAAAATAAAGCATTGCTTACATAATATTCTTTATTGTAACCACATCAACCAAACAGATTACACATTAGCCTTGAAAACACTTTGATATGATGACCATTCTTTTTGGTGATATTTGTTGTAGTAAGGCTAACCTGTGTCATTAATGAAGACCATCTAAATTATTTTTTAGGATTTATTTATTTATTTTAGAGAGAGAAAGAGGGAGAGACAGAGTGCGCCAGTGTGGGGAGGGGTAGAAGGAGGGCAGGAGAGAAGGCAGACTCCGAGCTGAGCACAGAGCCTGACTTAGGGCTTGATCCTACAACCCTGAGATCATGACCTGAGCAGAAACGAAGAGTCGGGTGCTTAACCACCTGAGCCACCCAAGCACCCCAAAGACCATCTGAATTTTTAAAATATACTTTTTTCATTATCCAGATATTTGGATAACTCTGAAGAAATAAATTTTCTAAAATAGTGATCTGATGGGGAAGCACCAAATCAGTGGTTGTTAACTCTGGCTGTGCATCAAAAGCTTTTTAGAAATACATGGATATTTGGAATAAATGGGTGTGTATTGGGACCTAGCACTTGTATTTATTTTTAAACAAACTTTTTATTTTGGGATAATTTTAGGTTTATAGAAAAGTTGCAGAGATATTAATGAATTCTCATATGCTCTTCATCCATATCCCCTAATACTAACATCTTATATTACCATGATACATATATCAAAACTAAGAAATTAACTGATACGTTACTATTAATGAAACTCTAGATTTTATTTTGGTTTTACCATTTTTCCCATAATTGTTCTATTTCTGGATCCACTCCAGGATACCACATTGCATTTAGGGCACTTGATTTTTGTTTGTTTTTTGTGTTTTTCTTTTGACTAAGGTTTTTTTTCTTTTGAAATTTTTATTGAGGGTATTATACATTTATATACAGTTATTACGAACAAATGCAGAGAGATTCCATGTACTTTTTCCTCTGTTCCCTCAGTGGTCATGCTAAATTATAGTATAATATAGTTCAGTTGACCCTTGAACAAGATGGGTTTGAATTGGTTAGGTCCACTATGGATTATTTTTGGTAAAATTAGTATAGTACTGTAAATGTAATTTCTCTTCTTTATAATTTTTTAAACATTTTTTCTTTAGCTTTATTATAAGAATACAGTATATGACATATATGACATACAAAATATATGTTAATCAACTGTTTATGTTACAGTAAGGCTTCTGGTCCGCAGTAGGCTATTAGTAAAGTTTTTGGGGAATCAAAAGTTATATGCAGATTTTTGACTGCATGGGGGGGTGATGTCTCTAACCTCTGCATTATTCAAGGGTCAACTGTATTTATATTTTTATAAGTTTTTTTTTTTTAAAGATTTTATTTATTTGGCAGAGAGACAGCGAGAGAAGGAACACAAGCAGGGGGAATAGGAGAGGGAGAAGCAGGCCTCCCACTGAGCAGGTAGCCTGATGTGGGGCTCGATCCCAGGACCCTGTCATGACCTGAGCTGAAGGCAGATGCCCAACGACTGAGCCACCGGAGCGCCCCTATATTTTTTTAAATTTTTATTGTTATGTTAATCACCATACATTACATCATTAGCGCCCCTATATTTCTATAAGCTTTTACAAGTGGTTTCGATGGATAGCAATTTTTTGTCCAAAATGTATCTTTCCTGATTTTTCTGATTATTAAAATAACTCATGTTCATTTTAGAAAATATCACAGATGAGTGGAAAGTTGGAAGTGAACAATTACCATCATTTTAGTTCCCCCAAAAATGCTGTTAGAATTTTTACATAGTCTTCCAGATTTTTTTTCAACATATATGTAAGCATTGCTAGATTTTTAAAAACTTATAAAAGCAACATTTACTTATTAAATAATTCCAGCAATGTAGAATGGTAACTAGTAATCGTTTTAATGGGTCTTTTTTGAACCTTTTATATATAACATAGTTATTTATCATATGTATAATTTTCTTTTACAAAACATTATTATATAAATGTATACATTCTTTTTATACTTCATGTATTATGGATGTTGTTCTATATCAGCATAAATAAGTTTACTTCATCCTTTTTAACTACATATAATTCTTTTATGTGACTACATTCATTTAATCAGTCTCCTATTGACAGACATGTAGAGTGTATTTATTTTTTATCATTATAAAAGATACAGATGTAGATACCTACATCTTTGTGGACTTTTATTTGTTTTTCTTTAGGAGCCACTATGGTTTTAGGTCTATCTGGAGTCTGTTTTAATGTGGCAACCTCTTATCATCATACACATGTAATTTGAACAAAATATGTGATTGATTTGGTAATTACCTAAAAATTAAGGCACTGTATTAAGGAATATTAAGTAGTCACATACATTGTACATGAAGCAACAGTGCACTTTCACTGCTAAAGTTGAACAAAAAATAAATTGAAATCAGGATGTTGAAAAATAAAACCTTTAGTCAAAGTTCAAGAAACCTTAACAGACTTACCCTCTCCCTTGCCAACATAAATAATTTAAGATTTGTTCCCTTCTAGAATTTCCTTTTATCTCTCCATACTGAAAGGTCTGCAAAGACAGGTTCATGTCTCTCATTTATCATTATTTTCCCAGTGCCCGGCCCATAGAATGTGCTTAATAAGTTATACAAATTATTGTAATAGCTATCCACAGGCTACTCTATTGATCATTTCAGATGGAGACGTTTCATCAGTCAGAAATCCATGTTTAGTTCAATCGGATAAGAAAATAGAAGTCAAAGCTTATGTCTCCAGTCCCCCTAGAAATTCACTGTCTACTGCTGCTGTCGAGGAGACTGCATGGGATTATCCTCCTAAAAACCGTAAGGAGCCAGAACAGAAGATTTGCAAGAAGCCTAATCTGGTGGTAAAGCCTTTACAGCTGGTAAGGTTTAATGACTTTGTATACTGGAGATTCAGCATTATGAAAAGTAAATGAATATTTCTTCAAACCAAAATTCTATTTTAGAAAAGTCTTATTTCTAGATATATGATTTCTTAGAGCAAAGCTTTGGTCTGAAGTCACCTTATGCAGCATTTATTCTGGTTTTCAATCTTTTGTATAACTAATTTCATTCAGATCTCATTTTAAAGTTTTCAGATGGCTTTGAAGATTTGCCAGTTTTTGCAAGAGGTTATAGCCAATGCTTGGTCCATGTTTTTTAAAATGTAGGCTGGAAAACCGTCGAGGGCTTCAGAAGGAAGAATTGAGGAGCTTTGTTTTCACTTTATGTCTCAACAACTGCTGCAGATTGCCCTGCACCTGTCCTCAACTATAGGGTGCTTTTCCTTTTTTCTTTTTCATTACATGTCCACACAGTTCTCCTTTTTTTGTGCTCTCCTCTCCTGTTATTTATTTTGTTGTTGTTAAGGAATTAATTCCTTACTCTTCTTTTCTTCTACCATCTATACCTGGCTTCTTTCATGGAAGGAAAACAATTTGTTTGGAAAGCCTACTGCATATTTTCTAGAGGATAAGAGAAAGGCCTAAAGGAAAATAAGATATTTTAGAATAAGAGTGTTTGAGAAACCCTATTTTTGGTTGGAAGACTAGTGTGAAATTTAATGCATTCTTTAAAGTTACCTTTGTTGGTAGGGTTGGGTAGGATGACGGTCTATCTTGGCTCAGCTTGAATATTTTAAGTACCATATTTGCAATTTTGTATGGGGTAGCTGTATAACATACTTTTAATATCATAAGGCAGTCGTTTTCATATATTAATGTAGGTAAGGATCACCTAGGGAATTTTTTTTTAAAAGATTTTATTTATTTATTTGATAGAAAGCACAAGCAGGGGGAGTGGCAGGCAGAGGGAGAGGGAGAAGCAGGCTCCCCAAGGAGCAGGGAGCCAGGCTCAGGACTCAATCCCAACACCCTGGGATCGTTACCTGAGCCTAAGGCAGACGCTTAACCGACTGAGCCGCCCAGGTGCCCACCTAGGGAATTTTTTAAGTGCATAACTGGAAGCCCCACTTCCAGGTATTTTGGATCAGTTAGTCCTGGCTAATGCCTAAGAAGCTTCATTTTTATAGTTTCCCAGGTGATTCTGATAAAGATGACTCATGAAATGTACTTTGAGAAATGTCATAGTTTGAAATGCCACTCAAGGTTTTATAGTGGTTTCTTTTCTTTTTTAACTTGTAGCAAGTAGAAGTTAACAAGTCACAGCTCAACCTGGCAATGGCCAATCGTGATATCCCACCAGATGCTGTACGGGACAAGAAATTATGCAGACTGCCACCATTAGATACCAGTACCCTTGTGGGGGTCTTCGTGGAGTATATCATCTCTCCTAGTCAATTCTACATCCGAATCTATAGCAGGGATTCATCTGAGTTACTCGAAGACATGATGATTGAGATGCGGTAGGAGCCTGTTGTTTTCAGTGTATTTTTCATGTATCTCATTCTAAATCATAAGTTCTCAACATTTTGATTTTAGGGCTTTTAAAAATTAAGGACTGGAGAACTTTTGTTTATTGATATTTATCTTAGAAATTAAAACTGTAACATTAAAATTTTTTTTGTTTAAAAATAACGGTAAGTCCATTTATGTGAATATAAATAACAGTTCTGTGAAAAATAACTATTTTCCAGAAATTATAATATTGACATTGTTCTACATTTTTGCAGATCTCTTTAATATCTGTCTTAATAGAAGAAGGTTTGATTTTAATATCTGCTTTTGTCTTTAATCTCTTGAGGTACATTGTTTTGGTTGAAGTATATGAAAACATCTGGCCTCACACAGATACATAGTTGGGGTAAAGAGTATTTTAGTAGCCTTTTCAGAAAATTGTAAATCTTCTTTGATATTTTCAGAAAATTCTGGAACATTCCCAAACTTGGCAAGTGGTAGTTTTTTAAAAATTAGTTGCAGTGTGGAATTTGAACTTTTCATACCCTACTGTGATAAAGTCCGTTGGTCTTCCTTTGCACTTTGAATGAACCAGGACTGGTTATGCAATTGCAGGCTCCAGTGCAAAATTAAAATGCAAGATGCTGAGTTTAAAAATCACTAAGAATTTCAGGACAGCAATAGCAGAACATTAAAGCAAGCATAAGGCCTTTCTAAGTGTGGACTCAATACAACTGGCCCTGAAAGGATCTTTTACCCCCATTAATAATTTAAAACATCGTGCACTGGTAATTTGGAAAACACTGTTTTGCTGAGTTATGTAGATCTTCCACATTTATTAATATCACCACTGATCTCATCAAAAAATATTACATATTAGGGAGCTGTCAAGCTTATGGTGGTAGATGCAACATTTCCAAAATCCTTATTTTCACTTGAAAGCCTTTAATTTTATCCGTGATGACAAATACTGTCAGTGTTTTCCTTGAAGTGACAGGCTCATCTCATTTTTGAGAAAATGTGTGTCAGATACCTAAGTCTGAATAAACATAGTTTGATAACGGTCCTTTCAAGCAAAAATGGTGTTCCATGAGAACAATGGCTAGTTCATTTTCCAAGTAAAAATGTTCCACAAAAACAGCTAGTTCAATTCACAACTCAAGTGCATAAGTGCTTTTCCTTAAGACAACTTGAGAAGTGTTTTATGTGTATAGTACTTCCATTTTTGTCACACAGAATATTGAAAAGATGGTCACTCAGTGGTTGATATTTAATAAACTTAATTTTTATTACTTTATCAAGGACATTCTTAAGTGACTGGCTTTTTTTTTTCTTTTTTCTTTAATTGTGAGTGTGTGACAGTGACATATAAATGATAAGTTTGGTGCCACTGTCTTGATTTGGCTAAGGCCCCTTGCTTTTTTTTTTTTTTTTTTACCATCATTGCAAATGTTAACACAGTGAAAAGGGTAAATCACTATTTTACTCAACTACTACTACTCTAATCTCTTTGCTGAAAAATGATGCCCTTTCTTAGTAAACACCATAAAAAATGTGTACATTTGCAGTCACTTAAGATTTATTCATGAACAACGGTGTCTGGTTTTTACATAGGTGTCACATATAAGAATAATTTATTACATACTTCTCCAAGAGCATTCCATTTCTTAATCTAATTTTACCACATTATATACTCCACTCATCTCTCACCCAAGAACACCTGGCATAACGTAAGTCACATAAAAATCACTTAGTAAAAATATCATATATTCCATTCCAGGATGCCTGTAAGATTTAGTACATGTTTTAAAGCACACTTACGGGCTTTGTGACCTTGAAGTTACTTTAATTCTATAGGCCTAGTCTCCTTATCTCCAAAGTAGGGATACTAATAGTACCTGCCTCACAGAGTTGTGATGATTAAAGTACTTAGAATGGAGTCTAGTTCAAAAGTTGGCTACTGTTGTTATCAATACCATATCTGCTGTGTGCTTGGGATGTTGAAGCATGAGGAGTACAAGGAGAAGACAGACATGGTCTTTCCTTTGTCAACACCACGATTATCTGGGAAGATAGGGGATATGTGGGGTATTGCATGAGGTGGTCATTCTGCCTGGGCAAGGTGGAAGAGAGCTTCACAAAGCGGGTGCTTGAGCTCGGCTTAAAAAACAAGTAAGAATTTGCCAGTCAAGGTGTGAGTGTGTATGTGCAGGTCCAGTCCTGGGCACTGAGGGCAGTATTAGCATTAACAACAGGAGTAGTGCTGTGCTCTGGGAGCAACAAATAGGGCAGTGAGGTTACCACTGCGTGAGGTTGGGTGGACAGTTACTGAATGTGAAACTGGAATACTAGGGAAGAGCTGGAGTATGAACACCATGGGAAGGAATTCTGACTTCTTCTCTAGACAACGAGGAGCCTCTGAAGGTTTTTAGAAAGTAGGGGCATCAACAGGTTTGTATTTCAGGATAACTCTGGTTGCAATGCAGAAGGTAGGTGGAGTGAACAGGAGAGCATCCATTACTATGCTAGTCTTGGTAGGAGCGTGAGAGTGGAAAGGGAGAGAGAAATTGGAGAGAATTTGGGAAAGTACAGTTGTCAGGTCTTGGTGACAAGCATGGGTTTGAGAAAGATAAGGGAGAAAGGGAGAATAGGAAACCTGTGTTGACTTTAGAGATTGGGTAGGTTTGAGCTGGGGTTAGAAGTTTGCACCTGGTGCCTCTAAGGTGACCATGAGGTATAGGGAATTGACAATGTTGAGTGGACAATATTAGTTAGGGTTAGGTTTAGCCACTGTTACAAAGACATAACTTAGCCATAGTAGCATAAAGAAGATAAAAGTTGATTTCTGCTTCCTGTAGTAGCCCATATATAAACACTACAGACCAATAGGGTAGCTCCATGGTGTTAGGGATGCAAGTGTTTCCTGTCTTGCTGTTGCAGACAGTGTGTTGCCCCCATCTGCATGGTCCAGGAGGTAGCTCGCCACCACACCCAGCAGCTCCTCATTCCAGCCAGTGGGAAGGAGAAAGAGAAGAAGGTAGGAGGTTGGAGGCATGCCATTTTCTTGAAAGACAAGAGCTGGAATTTCTATACTTGACTTTTTTTTTTTTTTTTCCCCAGAGACATGTACTCTTATTTCTTTTCTTTTTCGATTTTTTTTTCATTTTTTAAAATTTTATTATGTTAATCACCATACATTACATCATTAGTTTTTGATGTAGTGTTCCATGATTCATTGTTGCGTGTATAACCCAGTGCTCCATGCAGTACGTGCCCTCTTTAATACCCATCACCAGGCTAACCCGTCCCCCCACCCCCCCATACTTGACATTTTGTTTTAATTGTGGTAGAATACACATAAAATTTACCATCCTAATCATGCACACTCTCCTTTTTCTCACATGTCATTGCCCAGAGCTTAGTATTCACATCCACATGCAAGGGAGCCTGGGAAATCTGAATGGCTATATACTCAGGCAAAATTTGGGATTCTCTTACTAGGGGAAGAAGAGAGGAGAGTGAGAATTGGGGGACAACTAGCATCTTTTCTGTATAGCTGGAAATAAAGTTTCAAAGTTCAGAAGCGATTCAGCATCTAAAGATCCCGATGGAGAATCACCAGTTTATCCGTAGTGGTGTAAGACATGAAAGTGGGTGAGATGGTGCTGTGTACAGCAAGAATATTAATAGATAAGGAGTGCCTACTGTATTTGGGCTCTGTGCCATACAGTCACATATTTGAACTAAGGTTTTATTATCCTCTCCATGCGCAACAAGTAAACTGAAGCACAGAAAGACAAAGATACATGGCTAGTAAATGATGGAGTCAGAATTTGAGCCCATGTCATTGGCTCCAAAGCCTGAGCTTTTATTATTTTATACTTCCCAAAAAGAGGAACCCAGAGAACCCAGACGTTTAAGGCAATTACAGGGCCAGGATAGGAATAATTATTGACAGGGAAGAATTGGGAGCAAATAGTGTCTTGGAAACTAGGATAGAGACTGAAAGAGGACGGGGTCAGGGTCATGCTGCAGAGAATTAACGGGCCACCAATGGCTTAAAAATGCCCATTTTAGGAAATGCTGAGGAATAAAGTTGGATTACATTTTGTTCAGAGAGTATGAGCTTAAATAAATGTGTGGCTTTCTATTTGAAGAAGTTTGTCGATGAAGAGAAGGGATTTGGATAAGAAAGAAGAAAATAATAGTAATAAGCATTAACAAATCAGAAAAAGTGGGGATTCTTTTCCTTTTTGCCAAGACTTTCTTGCTCTTGATACATCAGTAAAAATGATCTTGGTATTTTCTTCCCCTATGTGATTCCCTCTATTATGGAATTCTGTAGGCGCTGCTATTCTAATCAGCTGGTTTCTGATCGGTACGCCATGCCGGAGTATTTCATCCAACCAGGACATCTCTGTTGTGTAAGGATTTCTGAGGATAAGTGGTGGTATCGGGTCATTATCCATCGAGTCCTTGGGAAGCAGGAAGTTGAAGTATTCTACCCAGACTTTGGAAATATTGGAACTGTTCAGAAGTCCTCCCTGAGGTTTCTCAAGTGAGTTAACAAATCTTACTAAATTATTCTTAAGTTTTGAATCCTGTGTTGAAGCCACATGGAGTTAGGATCACTCTTCCTTTTCTCTTGCCTTCCTCGCTCCCTCCTTCCCTCTTTGTTCTTAGTGCAAATGGACTTGGCATACGGTTCCTTAGTTTCACAGGGAGATTATAATCTCTTATGTCTTCTTTCACATGATTATGAATCTGAATGGACCATGAGACTAAATTCCAGTCTCTTAATTAAGAAAATGATTTTTTGGGTCATGCTAAGAGTTGCATTTATATAGCATGAAGGTTGGTTTGTTCCTACCTCTATTTTATTTTATTTATTTATTTATTTTTTTTTTCCTACCTCTATTTTAATTGCATGGTTTTCAAAGATTATTATGTCTAAAGATTTTACTTCTTAGATTGCTTTAAAGTGTAAGACATTAACTTAAAAATCCATGAATAAAATACTCTGAAGTGGTGTGAATAGCTCAAATCAAGAATGGATTAGAGATTCCATAAAATGCATTTAAAGATATGATTAAATATTTGTGTATTTGATTATCTCTTGCAGGTGCAGCTACACAAAGCTTCCAGCTCAGGCTATCCCTTGTTCTTTGGCTTGGGTGAGACCAGTAGAGGTATGTTTATTCCCCATTTAATCAGCAAACGTTTGATACTTAGAACAGTTCTAGGATCTCAGGATACAGAAATAAAACATGGAATGAGCCCTACAATGAGAAATCACTGTAGATAGTCTGGAAGATAGACGTGGAGACAGAAATCAGTGTGCTGTGTTGTATTTGCTGTAGAGCTATTTATGGTGTGTGCTAGGAGGTGCAGAAGGAGGAGTGCGCTACTCTGTTGAGGGTAGTCAGGGATGACCCTGTGGCCGAGGTGGCATTGGAGTGGAACTTCGAAGGAAGATTAGGACTATAACTAGACAAAAAAAAGAAAGCTGTTCCAGCCAAAGGGAGGGTAACATAAAACACCTAAAATTTGAGAAATGATAAGTGGCTCAGTTTGCTTACATGGCAGCAGATGAGCTGGAGTTGGTGGATGGAAGTGATGTGAGAGAAACAGACAGGACCCTGAATGGAGATCTGTATCTGTGTTCAGGAGTCCAGACATTGTCCTTTAGATGCTGGGGAGCAACTAAAGGACGTACCTAGGGAACCACCATACTGTTACATGTTTTTGAAGAATTCTCTAGTAACATAGTTGTGTGAGATGACTGGAGTGGGATGAAGCAAGGGGCATTTTTTTTTTTATTAACATATACTGTATTATTTGTTTCAGGGGGACAGGTCTGTGATTCAACAGTCTTACACAATTCACAGCACTCACCATAGCACATACCCTCCCCAGTGTCCATCACCCAGCCACCCCATCCCTCCCACCCCCCCTACTCCAGTTTGTTTCCTGAGATTAAGAGTCTCTTATGGTTTGTCTTCCTCTCTGGTTTTGTCTTGTTTCATTTTTCCCTCCTTTCCCCTAGGATCCTCTGTCTTGTTTCTCAATTCCTCATATCAGTGAGATCATATGATACTTGTCTTTTTCTGATTGACTTATTTTGCCTAGCATAATACCCTCTAGTTCCATCCATGTCATTGCAAATGGCAAGATTTTATGTTTTTTTTGATGGCTGCATAATATTCCATTGTGTGTGTGTGTGTGTGTGTGTGTGTGTACACCACATCTTCTTTATCCATTCATCTGTTGATGGACATCTTGGCTCTTTCCATAGTTTGGCTATTGTGGACATTGCTGCTATAAACATTGGGGTGCAGGTGCCCCTTCGGATCACTATATTTGTATCTTTGGGGTAAATACCCAGTGGTGTGATTGCTGGGTCATACGGTAGCTCTATTTTCAACTTTTTGAGGAGCCTCCATATGGTTTTCCAGAGTGGCTGCACCAGCTTGCGTGCAGGAGGCATTTTCATCCATACAGAGACATTTGTTTATGTAGTTATGAATATCGTGCACCTAACTTCGTGTTTTTCCCTCAGAACTCTTTTTTTTTTTTTTAAGATTTATTTGAGAGAGAGAGAGCAAGCACAGGGGGGAGTGGCAGGCAGAGGGAGAGGAAGAAGCAGGCTCCCTGCCGAGCCTGGAGCCCGAAGTGGGACTCGATCCCAGGACCCTGGGATCATGACCTGAGCCAAAGGCAGATGATTAACCCACTGAACCACTCAGGCGCCCCAGAAGTCTTAATTATATATGCCGTACACACTTATTATATTACATTTGTCTTAACGTACTGGTTGCTTACATATTACATGGATTATTCCTGTAAAAAAATTTATCTGAAAAACACAGTATAGAAGAAAAAGAAAAAACATTACTATTATTCTACTTTTCAAACACATTCAATTTAGAACTTTGATGTGTGTTTCAGTTTACTGGATGTTGGGGGTCAGTTTTTGTAGGGTTTTCAGGATTACATAAAATAGTAATATTATTTTATAGTCTTAACTCAGCATTATTACAGCATAAATTATTATGTTACCATAGTTTTCAATTTTAATAGATTCATAGTAATCTGTTAGGTAAATGTATATCATAGATTAACTATCCCCTTATTGTCAGACATTCAATCTGTTCTGATTTTTGAGTATATAAATAATGTATGCAGTTACAGTCTTTGTGCAGGTCAGTATTTGGGATTTTTAGGGTGCATTTTAGTCTTGGTTTTTTTCTTCCATGAGGAAGCTCAGGGCTAAATTTGTGACCCAGTTGGAGCCAGTGTTCATTATTCTCGTATTAGCTAGATGGCTTCCATTTTTGTGTCTCTTTTTGTTTTCTTACTTCCTTCCTGAAATGCTTCTGACCTTAGGGCTTTTGCCCACTCTCTTCCTTGGAGTAGCTTGTTCAAAGCATTCTCATGGTTGGCTCCTTTTTGTCATTCAGATTAAAGCCCAAATGTTATTTCCCAAGAAGGACTTCCTTGACCAGGCAATTTAAAGTACACACTTCCACTTCAGTCATTCATTGCAATTTATCTTTATAACACTGTTATCTGGTATTATTATAATTATTTGTTCACACACACAGTGTCAGCTTCTGAGATGAGGGGCATTGTCTGTTCACCACTGTATCTCTAGTGCCTAGATCAATGGTTGCGTCATTGTAGGTGCTTAATAAAGGTCTTCAACTGAATGAATGAATCTCAACTTTTTATCTTTTTTTCTGGTTTCAAAAATAGTTAACGCATTTGGTAATGGCAGAGTAACAATAGAGTAGCATGGTGGGACTAATACTCCCATAGGCAAAATCCAAAGCAGGCAGAAAAGCAGAAATCTACCCTTGAGAGTCAAGCCACAGTGTGGTAAGATCAGGAAATTTTCAGCTTCTATCCTGGGGTCACTCCCCTGTCTATAGCCTTGCTGGCTTGAAGAGTTAGAGGACGTTGTTTGGGACTGGCAGAACAGCTGGGAGTTAAGGGAGAAATACTTGAAGGGAGGGAGCCACAGAATGGGTGTTTCAAAATCAGTGACTTGCCATCTGCCCAAAACCTTAGATGACTCCTAAACTCTGCAGGCATTAGGAGAACCCAGTGGCCCTAGTGAAACATCACTGGCTTACTTACTCTTTCTTTTTGTCACCTTGCATGCGTTATTTTGAAGTTTTTTAATCATTCCACTAACACACTATATTATTTTAGGGATTATTCTAGGAAATACAACACTTGTTGTAAGTAACAATGCAAACACATTAGAACACTTTCTTCTTTAACCTCCTCTTCTGATCTATTTTTGTTGTATAATTATTGTTATTGTTTTAAACCCCTCAAGAAATGGACCACATAAAATAATGTTCACTTAGATTTAGTCATGTATTTCTCAATTTCTTAGCTCTTCATTCTGGCCACTCAAACCCCTTGAGAACATTTTCCTTTTATTTGAACGTATCCTTTAAGATTTCATTTTGTGAGGGTTTGCTGATAGCCAAACTCATGTTTACCTGGACACATAATTTTGCCTTTATTTTTTGGAAGATACATTCACTAGAATTTTAGGTTGGCACGTGATATGTGTAGTGCACTGAAGATATTATTATACTGGCTTCTGGTCTCCCTTACCTTATTGGAGAAGTCAGCTGTCAGCCTGATGGATGTTCCTTTGAAGGCAGTGTCCTTTTTGTCTGTAGCTGTTTCTAGCATTTCCTGTTTGTGGCTTGTGTCTTCAGTTTTAGTATGTTTACGTGTGGATTTATACTTATTTATCGTACTTTGTGGTTCATTGAATTCCCTTTATCTGTACTTTGTTACTTTATATTAAATCCGGCAAATTCCCAGCCATTATCTCTTCAATTATTATTGTTTTCCCCCCATTATTCATATTTATATTCCCTCTGTCTCTATTTCTGCATCTCTTTTTCTGGGACCACAATTAAAAGTATGTTAATGTTTCTCAATTTATCTTCCATATTTTTAAAACTCTATTTTTCTGTATTTTACATATTTCTCTCTTTCCATATTGCATTCTGGGTATTTTCCACTTTACTGATTTACTCTCTAATTCTGTCTAACCTGCTACTGAATCAATCTTTTAGGTTTTAAGTTTTGGTTATTGTATTTTTACTCTCTAAAAATTCTCTTTGTTCTGTAATTTTGCTAGATGAATTTTTATAGATTGCTGATCTCTGCAGAAGCTTTCAAATTAATCTTTTTTGTTTTTAAGTGTAGTAAGTTTAGTTGCTTTATAATTGTCTAGAAAGTTTTTGAAGGTTTGTTTATGTTGTTTCTCCTTGTTCTTACTTGTGATTAGTTGTTTCTTTGTATGCCTTTTATCTTTGCCTACATACTATTCATTGTCTTTGAAAAATTATTTGTAAGAATGTTTGAATAATATGGGCTAAGATTGCCTACCTCTAGAGAGATTTGCATTCGCTTCTGCCAGGTACCTAGGAATACTCCCAGTCTGAAACCACGTTAATTTAAATCAACAACTTGAGGATTTGTGTACTCTCCGGTGATAGGAAAATTGAACTGCAAATCCACGTGAAGGCTAGCTTATTTCTTTTCCTTTTTTTTTTTAAAGATTTTATTTATTAGAGAGAGAGAGAGAGAGAGAGAGCACAGGCAGGGGGAGGGGCAGAGGGAGAAGCAGGCTCCCTGCTGAGCAGGAAGCCCGAGGGGCTTGATCCCAGGACCCTGGGATCATGACCTGTGCTGAAGGCAGACGCTTAACCGACTGAGCCGTCCTGGTGCCCCTCTTTTCCTTTTTAGGCAAAATATTTCCCACTTTCCCTTTAATTCTGTCCTGATAATTTGTTACCCTCTTGACAGTTCTTTGATGCTTTTGGACATACCTAAAAAATCTTTTAATCCAGAATTTTAGTGGTTTCTGTAGAAGGATTAGTCCAATAATTTAGCTTAATCATTTCTGAAAATGAAAGTTTTTCACCACATAAATAATAAAGTTCTTTCCATAATCACATTTTTCATAATTTTTCCTTTATTCTGACTTTACTTATCCCCAAATCATAAATATCCTGCAGTGTATAATTCTAGTAAGAGAGAGTGAGAGAGAGAGAGAGAACAAGAGGGGGTGGTAGGGTCAGAGGGAGAAGCAGATTCCCCGCTGAGCAGGGAGCCTGATGTGGGACTCGATCCTGGGACTCCGGGATCATGACCTGAGCTGAAGGCAGTCGCTTAACCAGCTGAGCCACCCAAGCACCCTACTTTTATGGTTTTATTTTTCTATGAAAATCTCTAGTTCATCAGGAGTTTATTTTTGTATGTGGTTACTATAATTCATGTTTGAATTTATCATCTGAATCTCATGTTTTGATTATATTTCAGGAACATTGGACATCCAGAGCTATTTTGCAGTTCCAGAAGTTGTGTGGTTTGAAGCCATTAGTGGGGGTAGTGGATGAATATGTAGACGGAATCCTTAACATTTTTCTGTGTGATACATCCTCAAATGAAGATGTCTATTTCCATCATGTCTTGAGAACGGAGGGCCATGCTATTGTATGCCGAGAAAATGTCCCTTCTAAGGTGGAGCTGTCTGGTTGTGTTTTGTAATATATTTTATTTACTCTGAACACTTCAAGGTGTAAGATAATTTAATAGAGAAGGTTATTTGATGTATTCTTTAATCTTAGAGACATTTATGAGATGCCTGCCTTCTTAATGCAGAGCATTCTCTTAATTTTCAAATGACCACAAAAAACTACCTTTGGCTGATGAGAGTGTGAATACTTTTAAGTAATTGAATTGAGATTCTGTGTTACCTCAAATCAGTTCTTTGAGGTCTTCTTAGAGAAGACAACACTCTTGTTTTGCAACTATTGATGGTGATGTCTGCATCACTGTTGATGTTGATATTTTTGTGACTAGGAAAAATTGTCAATATGGAAAATGTTTTAAATTTTCTAAAATTTTAAATTTTAGAAGATACATTTCTACAACATTTGAAAATTATGAAGTGCTAACTTTTTCACTTTTTCTCTAAGTAATTAAACCCTTCCTTCTTTTTTTAATCCCAGGGTTTCAGAGAACTCAACCCTTTAGCTTTATATACTAAATCCAGTGCAGGGCCAGAGGATGTGGTCCTGACAGAACTGGGTTATCCTTCCCAGCAGCACTATTTTAATGAAGACCGAGAGATTAGTCCACAATCTAAGGAGAGTGAATTATATACCCTGGTGAGAGGCTTTTGTAAATATTATAATTCTTTTATTATTGTTAACATTTAATGAGTACTTATTATATGCCAAACACTATGAAAAACACCATAAGCATAATATGTTATTTAATCCTCACAGAATGCCTGTGATACAGTTGCCGTAATTATCCTTATTTTATAGGTGAGGAAACTGAGGCTTTCCAAACCTAGGAAAGTTTGGGAAGTTTATGCAACCATTGTAACAGTACCTTGTCTCTCATTATTTGCAGGTTTAAATCTTTGCTACAGTCACGCCTTCTCCTGCAAGATTTCTCGCATACACTAAATTCCTTTCCTGCCTTCCCCTACTCTAACCCGAATGCTGTTCTTCTTCGCTCTGCTTACCTCAGATTCTTCCAGTGTTCTCATTTCTTACTTTCTCTGTAAGCCTTTCAGTGACTCCCACTCATAGTAATAACAATATTACTATTCCTACTATTACTGTTACATATTATTCCAGCCAACAGAGGTAATAATAAAAATTTTAAAAAAATAACAGCAACATTTATTGAACTTGTACTACATGGGAGGGACTGTTCTAAACACTCTTATGTACTAGTTAATCTTTACGATCACTTTACCAGGTTGGTACTTTTGTATCCCTGCTTTAGATAGAATTAAAATGAAGCACCAAGTAAGGACTTAAATGATTTTTGAACAAATAAATAAACATGTCCTCTGAGTCTTCTATCCTCATGCAACAGGTACAGGGCTAAGAATATAGGATGTGTTCGGTTGAGAGCCAAAGTGATTTTGGGCCCAGCAGGGCTTTTTATTTCATTGAATACATATTATTTTGCTTAAATATGTTTTATATATCTGACTTATAAAATAAAATTATAGAGATGATGTTACGTTTTTAGTAGATATTTGCTAACTATTATATAAAAAGGGAAGGCCGGTTTGACCACTGGGAGATTACCCTGTTCTGAGAAGTAGGTATGAATGTTTACTGCTGCATGTTTGAAACAATATAAGAATGTTAGATTTCTAGTTTATGTTAAAATTAATTAGGCTCCTTTGGCCCATAACACTTTCTGAAGCCTGAATTTTTCTTAATCATTATTACTTGATTGGAACAGTTATATTTTCTGATTCTTAAATAGTGATTTGAATACACCCTTTACAATTTTTAGAATATCCTATCACTGTGTTATGTCTTCAAATAATCATAGTTCAGTCTCAAATGAAATAAAGCCATCGTTTCTGCAAAAGAGATAAGACTTAAAATTCTTATATCCCACCGCAACCTGCATCCCATGGGCTTCATACACATTCACACTTACCCATCCACTCCCTACCTCTGTATACTCCGTTCTCTGTAATTCCTACTCTTCTTTTAACCATCCAGCAGTTTGTGTTACCTCCTTCATTGCAACTTTTTAAGGCATCTTCTTAAGGCATCTTCCTCTCCAGCGATATTTTGGTCATATCTCTGTGATGGCTCTACACTGAAGGTTGTACAGTGATTATCTGATTGTGTGTCTTCCTGCTATATTTTGAGTTCCTTTAGAGCTGCAACATACTGCATTCATCCTTTTTTTTTTTTTTAAAGATTTTATTTATTTGACAGAGAGAGACACAGCAAGAGAGGGAACACAAGCAGGGGGAGTGGGAGAGGGAGAAGCAGGCTTCCTGCGGAGCAGGGAGCACTATGCGGGGCTCGATCCCAGGACCCTGGGATCATGACCTGAGCTGAAGGCAGCTGCTTAACTACTGAGCCATCCAGGGACCCCTGCATTCATCTTTATATCCACAGAGCTACCCTGTACACATTTCATAATGTGTGCTCAGTAAATGTTTGTTGGCTTGAACTAGTTTAGCAGGATAGGAAGATGTGGGGTCATGGATAGAGTTAGAAAATAATGTAGCATCGGTATGAACCATAGTGAAAAATTCCTCCCAGAATGTATAGGCATGCAGATTTTAGAAACGGCATTAATATGGAAAATAAAATAATTTCTCTTTCATATCTACTAGCAAGGTGTTAATGATGAAAAGGCTTTCACTCACCTTAAATCTGAATTAAAGGAGCCATTAAAGGATTCTGAATTCAATTCTTTGAAAACCCAAGATAAGCGCTGTGAAGAAGATCCAAAGTGGTCCATCCCAGAGCTAAAGGATCTGAAGGAAGAAAATGAGGTAGGAGAAGGAAAGAGTTTTTTAAAAATGTGATTCATATACTTAATTCATAAGTGAAGGGGACGGAAATAAAATAGCTCTTTAAATTCTGCTTTTACTGCCATCAGAGAATCTTTCACAGATGAATTACATTTTCTCTTCAGCAGTCACTGACACCAAAGTTGAAGCAACATAGCCTTGATCACAAAAAATGAAAGGCATTATCTGGCTTTGATGTGTTAGTTCCTATCTTGTTGCTTCGGGCAGTCTTCAAGAATTATGTGGTGATTAGAAACTAGTACTGAGATACAGTTTCAGGAGAACGCAACAGGAAAAATATTGGCAGCTTTTTCGGAGGATGTATTTTATTTTTATTTTTATTTTAACCTAATGTTTATGTACATATAGCTTAGAGTGCCCCATAATCCCTTCCTCTACATTTTGTATTTCACAGGGCAACCATTTTCATCTTTGAGGGGCTGCTTTTGGGATTTACCTCTGTGTATTTCACTATATAACATGCGTATGTTGTTATTTCCTGAGTTTTCAGTTTTACGTCCCTCTGGGAAAGAGGAAGATTTCCTTCTCTTTCATCCCTTTGCCCCACCACACACACATGTACCCTTTTTGTCCCCGGTCCCGCATCTTACTAATGTCGTTTTACCACCCTTTCCATTAGATCACCATTCAGTATTTACATTATTACCATAAATGCTATCAACAGGTAGTATGCTGTGGCAACTTTTTCCTTCCTGAATGACTTTTGTTTTCTCTAGTGTTAGTATTTCTTTCTTTTTAAATTAACATAGAGTAAAATTGACTTTCTTCTGGTGTATTGTTCTTTTTTTTTTTATTAACTTATAATGTATTATTTGTTTCAGAGGTACAGGTCTGTGATTCATCAGTCTTACACGGTTCACAGCACTCACCATAGCACATACCCTCCCCAGTGTCCATCACCCAGCCACCCCATCCCTCCCACCCCTCTCCACTCCTGCAACCCTCATTTCGTTTCCTGAGATTAAGAGCCTCTTACGGTTTGTTTCCCTCTCTGGTTTCGTCTTGTTTCATTTTTCCCTCCCTTCCCCTATGATCCTCTGGTGTACTGTTCATAAATTTGTGTAACCATCATTGTATTCAGGATGCAGGATGGTTCCATCACCTGAAAAACCTCCCTGGTGCTACCCCTCTGTAATCATAGTCTTCCCACGTCCTCAACTCTTAGCAACTGTTGATTTGTTTTCTATCACTGTAGATTTACCTTTTCTGGAGTGTCCTATAAATAGTCATAGAATGTGTATATAATTTTTTGAGACTGGCTTCTTTCATTCAGCATAATACCTTTGGGATTCATCCAAATTGTTGCCTATGTCAATAGTCTGTTCCTTTTGATGGCTGAGTAGTAGTATTGTATGGATGTACCTTAATATATATATATCCATTCTCACCCATTGGAGGATACTTGGGTTGTTTCCAGTTTTCAGTAATTATGAATAGAGCCTCTATAAATATTCATGTACAGATTTCTGTATAAAGGTAATCAGGAGTAATGTGGTAAATGCAGGCCAAACTGTTCTAGTTGTTTCTTATCTTGCCAGCAGTAGGTATTATCAATGATGTTCATTTTTAGCCATTCAGATAGATATGTAGTGGTGTCACAGTGTGATTTTAATTTGCATTTCCCTAATGACTGTTGTTGAACATCTGTTTGCGTCCTTACTTGCCATCTATAAACATACTTCTTTGAGAAATGTCCAAGTCTTTTGCCCATGTTTTTGTTGGGTTGTTTGTTTTCTTGCTAGTAGATTTTGAGAGTGCTTTAAATATTCTGAATACTAGTGCTTTGTCAGATATGTGATTTTCACCCAAATGTATTCTCCTACTTGTAGAATGTCTTATATTCTCTTAATAGTGTTTTTCATACCACAAGTTTTAATTTTGAGAAATTCCAGTTTATCAGGTTTTTTTTTTTATGTACAATGTTTTCAGTGTCAAGACATCTTGAGTTAATTTTAGTATAAGATGTGAGGTTTAGGTCAGTGTTAATTTTGTTGCATATAGATGTTCAGTTGTTTTAGCATCATTTTTGAAAAGACAGTGCTTTCTCCATTGAATAGCCTTTGCAAACTTGCCAAAAATCAATTGTCTACATTTGTGTGTGTCTATTTCTAGACTCTGTATTGTGCTCCATTGATCTACCTGTTTTTTCAATATCACACTGTCTTGATTATGGTAGCTTTGTGATAACTCTTAAAATCAGGTAGTATGATCCTTCTACTTTATTCTTCTTTCTCAAATTTGTTTTTAATATTCATTTTTCTTCCAAGATTTTATATAAATTCAGTTGATTAACATATAGTCTATTATTAGTTTCAGAGGTAGAGTTCAGTGATTCATAGTTGCATGTAACACCCAGTGCTCATTACATCACATGCCCTCCTTAATGCCCATCACCCATTTAGCCCATCCTCCCACCCACCTCCCCTCCAGCAACACTCAGTTTGTTCTCTGTAGTTAAGAGTCTCTTAACGGTTTGTCTACCTCTGTTTTTATCTTATTTTTCCTTCCCTTCACCTATGTTCATCTGTTTTGTTTCTTAAATTCCACATACGAGTGAAATCTTATGGTATTTGTCTTTCTCTGATTTTTTTTCACTTAGCACAATACCCTCTAGTTCCATCCATGTCATCACGAATGGCAAGATTTCATTCTTTTTGATGGCTAATATTCCATCATGTGTATTTATATATACCACATCTTTTTCGTCCATTCATGAGTCAATGGACGTTTGGGCCCTTTCCATAATTTGGCTGTTGTTCATAGTGCTGCTATAAACATTGGGGTGCATGTGCCCCTTCGAATCACAGTGTTTCTATCCTTGGAAAATACCTAGCAGTGCGATTGCTGGATCGTAGAGTAGTTCTATTTTCAACATTTTGAGGAACCTCCATACTGTTCTCCAGAGTGGCTGCATCAGTTTGCATTTCCACCAACATTGCAAGAGGGTTCCCCTTTCTTTGCATCCTCATCAACATCTGTTGTTTCCTGAATTAATTTTAGCCATTCTGACAGGTGTGAGGTGGTATCTCATTGTGGTTTTGATATGTATATTTCCCTGATCTTTTCGTGTGTCTGTTGGCCATTTGTATGTCTTTTTCGGAGAAATCTCTGTTCATGTTTTCTGTCCATTTCTTAACTGGATTATTTATTTTTTAGGTGTTGAGTTTGATAAGTTCTTTATGGATTTTGGATACTAGCCCTTTATCTGATAGTCATTTGCAACAATCTGCTCCCATTCTGTTTTGTTGATTGTTTCCTTTGCTGTGCAAAAGCTTTTTATCTTGATGAAGTCCCAATAGTTCATTTTTGCCTTTGTTTCCCTTGCCTTTAGAGATGTGTCTAGTAAGAAGTTGCTATGGCCAAGGTCAAAGAGGTTTCTTCCTGTGCTCTCCTCTAGGATTTTGATGGATTCCTGTCTCACATTTGGGTCTTTCATCCATTTTGCATTTATTTTTGTGTATGGTGTAAGAGAGTAGTCCAGTTTCATGCTTCTGCATGTTGCTGTCCAGTTTTCCAAACACCATTTGTTTGAAGAGACTCTTTTTTTCCGTTGGATATTCTTTTCTGCTTTGTTGAAGATTAGTTGACCATAGACTTGAGGGTCCATTTCTGGGTTCTTTATTCTGTTCCATTGATCTATGTGTCTGTTTTTATGCCAGTACCATACTGTCTTGTTGATTACAGCTTTATAATCCAGCTTGAAGTCTGGAATTGTGATGCCTCCAGCTTTGCTTTTCTTTTTCAACATTCTTTTGACTATTTGGGGTCTTTTCTGGTTCCATACAAATTTTAGAATTCTTTGTTAATAGCTCTGTGAAAAAATACTGGTGTTATTTTGATAAGGATTGCATTGAATGTGCAGATTGCTTTGGGTAGCATAGACATTTTAACAGTATTTGTTCTTCCAATCCATGAGCATGGAATGTTTTTCCATTTTTTTGTGTGTCATCTTCAGTTTCTTTCATAAGTGTTCTGTAGTGTTCAGAGTACAGATCTTTTACCTCTCTGGTTAGTTTTATTCCTAGGTATCTTATAGTATTTGGTACAATTGTAAATGGGATCAATTCCTTGATTTTTCTTTCTGCTGCTTCATTATTGGTGTATGGAAATGCAACAGATTTCTGAATGTTCCTTTTCTATGCTGTGAATTTGCTGAATTCGTGTATTAGTTCTAGCAATTTTTTGGTGGAGTCTTTCGATTTTTCTAAATAGAGTATCATGTCATCTGTGAAGAGTGAAAGTTTGACTTCTTCCTTGCCAATTTGGATGTCTTTTATTTCATTTTGTTGTCTGATTGCTGAGGCTAGGACTTCAGTACTATGTTGAACAACAGTGGTAAGAGTGAACATCCCTGTCACGTTCCTGACCTTAGGGGAAAAGCTCTCAGTTTTTCCCCATTGAGGATGATATTAGCTGTGGGTGTTTTGTATATGGCCTTTATGATGTTGAGGTATGTTCCTTCTATCCCTACATTCTGGAAGGTTTTTTTTAATCAGGAAAGGATGCTGTATTTTGTCAAGTGCTTTTTCTGCATATATTGACAGGATGATATGATTCTTATCCTTTGATTCTTAACCTTTTATTAATGTATTGTATCACATTGATTGATATGTGGATTTTGAACCACCCTTGCAGCCCAGGAATAAATCCCACTTGGTCGTGGTGAATAATCCTTTTAATGTACTGTTGGATCCTACCGCCTAGTATCTTGGTGAGAATTTTTACATCCATATTCATCAGGGATATTGTTCTGTAATTCTCCTTTTTAGTGGGGTCTTTGTCTGGTTTTGGAATCAAGGTCATACTGGCCTCATAGAATGAGTTTGGAAGTTTTCCTTCCATTTCTATTTTTTTGAATAGTTTCAGAAGAATAGGCATTAACTCTTCTTTAAATGTTTGTTAGAATTGCCCTGGGAAGCCATCTGGCCCTGGACTCTTCTTTGTTGGTAGATTTTTGGTTA